ACTCTGTAGCCCAGGCTGGCCTCGAACTCACAGAGATCCGCCTGCCTCTGCCTCCCGAGTGCTGGGACTAAAGGCGTGCGCCACCACCGCCCGGCCCTGTATGCTCATTTTTAAAAATAAAAATTTAGTATCTATTCCAGGTGCTAGCCAAAGCTCTATATGTATTAACTAGTCTAACCTGTACCTGTGACACAGGTTTTTTCACATGGAGAGACTGAGTCACAAACAGGTTCTATGACTTGCCTGAGATCAGCAGAGCCTCTCCTAGTGGCCAAATTATAGTCTTTTCAAAAAGTTCACTGCTTCTTGAAATAATAGCAAATATTCTCGAAAAAGCTAGCACAAACCTTTTGTATTGATGTCTGATTCACACTGAGTCCTGTCATTAGATTGTGGTATCTAATCTGGACTTTCCTGAGAAAGACTCTCAAAAAGAGAAGGGTCAACAAGGTGGCTCAGTGGGGACAAGCCCTTGCTGCCAAAGCTGAGGATATGAGCTTGATCCCTGGAACTCAGAAGTGACACCTGTGTGTCATCCAGTGACTTCCACACATGCACTGTGGTATAGGTGTCCCCTCCCAAGTAAATAAAGGTAGTACATTTTAAGACACACTGACCACACCATTCTTTGTGATAAATAAAAAAGGACATAAAAATATAGTATGGATCACAGATGAGGGGCAGTTAAACAGAATGTCACCCTCTAATTCTCTGGTGCTTCATATTTTCTCTCTAAACTAGGGATGGTAACAGGATTCACCACATTCCTATTAAGATTTAATTGGCTGGATGTGGTGATGAATAATGTAATCTTGCCTACTTGGAAGTATTACAATATCCAGGCCAGCCTGAGAAATTTAGCAAGACTGAGTCAAAAAAAAAAAATTAGATCTGGGGCTTGGTGGCACATGTCTTTAATCCCAGCAGTGGGAAAGTTAAAAAAAAAAAAGAGGATCAGAAGTTCAAGGCTACCTTTCCAGTTGAAGGCCAGACTGGACTACTTTGGTTGGTTTGTTAATTTTTTTTTTCAACAGAGTTTCTCAATGTAGCCATGATTGTCCTGAAACTCGCTCTGTACAAACAACTCAGGCTGGCCTCAGACTTACAGAGACCCACCTGCCTCTGACTCCCGAGTGCTGTGACTAAAGGTGCGCAATACCACTGCCTGGCTCAGCCTGGACTACTTTGTCTCAAAAAACTAATAAAGGAGTGGAAGCCAGTTGTGATAACCCAATACTTGGGAAGTGGAGACAGAGGATCAGTTCAAGGTTATCCTCAGCTATGTAATGAGTTGGAGGCCAGCCTGGGTTACATGAGATCTTGTTTTTAAAATGAAAGGTACTTGCTTAGCATATCTGAAGCCCTGGATCCTATCTATCTCCTGTACCATATATAAGCTACTTAAACAGTGTCCAACACTTTGTCCAGTGAGTATTTACAGTCTTGTTAAAGCTATATTTCTTTGTGCCAAGAAATATAGCTCATTCTTTAGCAATTGTTACAGAGGATATTTTACAACAGTGATACAGTGACAAAGGAGAAACCATCAACAGGATTCACCTATTTTTATATTCCTCGCGTCAGGCAACCTAAAAACATTAGTTAGTTGATTTTTTTTTTTGTCAGCTTGACACAAGTTAGAGTCATTTGGAAAGATGGAACCTCAACTGAGAAAATGCTCCCATCAGATTGGCCTGTAGGGATGGCTGTAGTGATTCTTGATTAGTGATTGATGTGGGCGGTGCCACCTGTGGGCAAGTGGGCATGGGTTGTATAAAGAAGCAGGCTACAGCAAGCAGTGGGGAGCAGGCCAGTACGCAGTGTTCCTCCATGATCACTGAGTCAGTGCCTGCCTTGATTTTTAGCCCTGACTTCCCTTAGTGATGGGTTGTGACCTGGGGATTCTAAGGGGAAATAAACCTTTTCCTCCCCCAAATTGCTTTTGGTCGGTGTTTTATCACAGCCATAGAAAGCCAAATTAAGGGGGCTGGAGAGATGGCTCAGTGGTTAAGAGCATCAACTGCTCTTCCAGTAGGCCTGGGGTTCAATTCCCAGCACCCACGTGGCAGCTCACAACTGTCTAACTCCAAGATCTGATATCCTCACATAGGCAGGCAAAACACCAATGTACATGAAATAAGAATATATTTTTGAAAAAGCCAAATTAAGACAGTTGATTATATTTATTGTAAAAGTCAGTTTTGAAAATTGGGTCAGCTGATGTTAAGGTACAGTAGAAAACTATATTATACCTTGAGTTTCTGTGCCTGCTTGCTTTAAGAAAGCTTTTATTATTTGTTGGGGGTTGTGAGCCACAGCACACCTGTGGACGTCATAAGACAACTAGGGACTGGGTTCTCTCCTTCCACCTTTACATGGGATCTAGCGATTTAAAAACAAAGTCTTAGGCAACAAATTACCCAGTGAGCCATCTCCACCCTTCTTGCTTGCTTTTTGAGATAGACTCTCACTATGTAGCCCCGGGTGGCCTGGAATTGACTAGACCAGGCTGGATTCAAATTCATGATCCTCCTGTCACTCCCCGCCCCCACTTCACTCCCTTTATAGGATTACCATTAGGCTAGACTTATATCTTGAATTTCAGCCTTGTAAATTCTGTTTATCTTTATGGCTCTGAGATAAATATCTGAGATACAGATTCTAGTTTAAAGTGAATAGCAGACAATTGGGAAAGATTCCTTGGGTCAAACCCCCAAAGCTGTTTTTCCTAATTGCATCTTGTTATTTAAAACACTCAAGTCTCAATCAAATTTACGAGGGGCAACCATCCAAGTCCAGTTACTCCCAGTGAAGACACATGGGTTCTCATTACATAGGTGTCCAGAGAGTCATCACTGCTCTAAGAGCTAGAGAATGTTTTAGGAGTCAGTCTCTGTATGTATGGTCAGTCTCTGTATATACTTTATTCGAGTTTTGCCTGGGGCCAAATTTGTGCTGCTGAGAAGAGCCTAAGCCACTTTCACAAGAAAGTCATTATTTCTCATTTTTAGCAAGTGGTTGACATATTCACCCTGTCCCTCTAACCCCAGTCCTTTATCCCTTTGTATACAAAAGGTGTCAAGGGGAAAATGAATAGAACTCAAGGGGTGGAGCTTCTGTCCTTGTACGGGAAACTACAATCCTTTAATGCGCCTGCGAGGCTCCCACGCCCTGGGAAAGGTTCCTATCGATTTGCTCTGTGCTCCGCAGCTCTTTCTGGTTGCAAGCAGCCATCTTGCCTGGAGCTTGAGACAGGGAGGAGAGAAGGAACCGGTGACACCGGGCTCAGGGCCGCCCCGGGGGCCTCAAGAACCAGGGGCAGCCCCGGAGGTGGTCCTGGGTCCTGGGCTATGCTCTAGGACTAGAAAAGGGAAGGCAGAGGGCTTGATGGGCGGGGAATGTCAAACAAGACCGGCTGGGTGGGGGAGGGGCGTTGCTAAGGCAACTGGGGAGGGCGGGGTCATGTCTGAATTGCTGCTGTGAGTCACCGGAGTGCTGCCCAGGAAAGGCAGGGCTGGAGTGATGACCATGCTAGCGACCCAGTGGGATTTCGCGACATCACCTGTGTGGAGGGACTTCGTGTCTATGGCAACTGTCACCTGGTGGAAGGGGCGGAACTAGATTTCCTCTGTCTGGGACGCCGGCATTCCAAGCCCTTGTCCTGCAGCCTCCCGCAGGCAGACGCGCCATAGAAGGAAGCCAGGGAATGGCCGCGGTGTGGCAGCAAGTCTTAGCAGTGGACGCGAGGTGAGGCGTGGGGTTGGAGCCCATGGGAGCGGAACTTACTGTGGTGCATGAGCAATGGCGATAAGTGAGGCTGGGCGGAGAACTTGGCTGGTGCGGCTGCGTGAGCATGCGCAGTTAGCTTGGTGTGGGATATTCCCGCGGTGAAGTGGCCCGGCTAGAGAAGGGTCTAAAGAGCATGCTGGGAAAATGCGGTTAGATATGGACATGCGCAAAGAGACTGTCTTCGGGGTGGGAAGTGGAAGTCTGGCTGGTGACTTCCTACCTAGCTCCTTATTGCCTGTCCTCTTCCCCAACTTTTCTTGATACCACTACCCTACTACTATTACCCAATTGCTACCCCATACTAACCTTTATCACTACCTGACCCTAACCTCCATTGCCATACACTGCCAATCTGACATTTGTCATCATGCTAGACTGATAATATAGATGGCCAAGACTGACCCCCAACAGAGCTGCAGATTGACAATATTGTCTCCAGACTGACCTTTTCATCATACCTGTTATTAATGCAGAATTACCCCCGTCACAGTACCAGGAAGAATCCCCCTTTACCACTGTTGATCACTCTCACCATCCCAATCACTGCCAAACACCTCATGGCACAACCCTATGCCTCGAGCTGATTTATTCCCTCTGTCCTGTGCCTGCTGCCTGCCCTGCCTCCTGGACCCCACAGGTACAACGCCTACCGCACACCAACGTTCCCACAGTTTCGGACCCAGTATATCCGCCGGCGCAGCCAGCTGCTGCGGGAGAATGCCAAGGCTGGCCACCCCCCAGCCTTGCGTCGGCAGTACCTGAGGCTACGGGGCCAGCTATTGGGTCAGCGCTACGGGCCACTCTCTGAGCCAGGCAGTGCTCGTGCCTATAGCAACAGCATTGTCCGCAGCAGCCGCACCACCCTTGACCGAATGGAGGTGAGCTCCTGGCTGTACCACCTGCCGTCCGTCTCTCTCCCCTACCTCCATAGTCATCATGGCCTTTTGTCAAACACGGGTGATGTACAAAAGTACTGTTCTAGTGTCAGTAGAGGACTAAAAAGTAATATAGCGGCCGGGCGGTGGCGGCGCACTCCCTTAACCCCAGCACTCGGGAGGCAGAGGCAGGCGGATCTCTGTGAGTTTGAGGCCAGCCTGGACTACCAAGTGAGAGATCCAGGAAAGGCACAGAGCTACACAGAGAAACCCTGTCTCAAGTGAATTAGATAAACACGGAGCGAGTCAGATGAATGAGTTGATATTACCACGGTATAGTAGAATGCTCCGATAGTAATATAAAATGAACCTAGGAGACAAAAAGGAATGAGAGTTCCATGCAGGGATGTAGGGCAGTGACAGAGTGCTTGCCTGGTATGCGTGAGGCTGATGGTTCTGTTCCCAACACAGCAAGAAGAATGAAAAGGACCTACTTTGGGGGAGGCGGCAGGGGGGGGGGTTGGGGGTGGAGTTTGAGACAGGGTTTCTGCGTGTACTTTTGGTGCGAGATCCGCCTGGCTCTGCCTCCTGAGCGCTGGGATTAAAGGTGTGCGCCACTGCCGCCCGGCTAAAAAGGCACTCGCTACTTTGAGCTAATGGAGGAAGCTATGTAATAGGGAAGACTTCTCTGAGGAGATAACAATGAAACCTGGCTGAAGTGAGAGGCTGGTTTGAGTGGATTTTTTGGGGGCGGGGGTGGGGGGAGGGGAATAGTTATTCTTGGTGAGGAAAACATGTTTGTACTGAGGATATGTTGAGCAGGGCAAGGGCAGAAACAGAGGCACTAGTGAAGAAGCTACTGAAGAGGGCCAGTGAGCAGTGACAGTGGTGGCAGGTGCCACGTGTGGTGACAAGGGATCAGGTCTGGTCCTATTTTGAAGTCTCCAGACTTCAGTGCTTCTCAAAGACTCCTTTCTTGTCCTTTTGAGACAGGATCTTACCATGTAGCCCAGGCTGGCCTCAAATTCACTATATAGCCAAGGCAGGCCTTGAGCTCAGTGATCTTCCTGCCTCAGTTTCCCAAGTGCTGGAATTAGAGGCATGCACCGTCCCTGACCCTCTCTTGTTTGCAGGACTTTGAAGATGATCCTCGAACCCTGGGGGCCCGAGGGCACCGCCGTTCTGTCAGCCGAGGCTCCTACCAGCTCCAGGCACAAATGAACCGAGCAGTCTATGAGGACAGGTACATACCAGAGGCAGGCAGAGGGTGGAGGTTCCCCAGGAGGAGAGAGGCCCTGGGATATGGCAGTCTGAACACCCACACCTACCTCCTATCGCCCCTACTTCCTGTTGGGGCTCAGGCCTCCTGGCAGTGTGGTACCCACATCGGTGGCAGAGGCAAGTCGTGCCATGGCCGGGGACACATCGCTGAGTGAAAACTATGCCTTTGCAGGCATGTACCATGTTTTTGACCAGCACGTGGATGAGGCAGGTAAGAGAACGGGTGGTGGGACCCATCACCAAACATTTGTTCAAACAACTACCCAAGGCCTCATTTTTCCAGAATGCAAGGTCTCTGGCACCACACCTCAGCAGGAGAAATTACCACTCATAAAACTGTTAGCAAATGCAAAAGCCCTCTGCAAAGTTTGTGTTACTTTAGGTACTGTAAAGAGCCGCAGAAACTCAAGAGAGCCTTTTTTTAGCGGGCTGTCTGAGTTCCTGAGTCACTTGGAAGAGTTCAAAGCCGTTGCTGGTAACTTCCTTGCAGAGGGTCGAGTGGGCCACACTGTGTGGAGGCTTTGGCAGACTCCTGAGAGCTTGATTGTTGTAAAGTACGCAGTAGAACAGTGCCAGCTTTTTTGCGTTGCAGAAGCCCTTGGCGGTCCTCAGAGTGCCTGCTAGATTTAGAGAGCACGTTGTCAGTGGACCTTCTAAGGTTTACAGCTGCCTTTGTCAGCCAAGGAAAGCCCGTTGTTGAGGTGACCATTCCTTTGCTCAGTGAATGTGTTGACTCCCCCAAATGACTCCTTGGCATTTGCAGTCCCAAGGGTACACTTCGCCAATGACGACCGGCACCGCCTGGCCTGCTGCTCACTGGACGGCAGCATCTCCCTGTGCCAGCTGGTGCCTGCCCCACCCACTGTGCTCCATGTGCTACGTGGCCACACGCGTGGCGTCTCCGACTTCGCCTGGTCCCTCTCCAATGACATCCTCGTGTCCACCTCCCTCGATGCCACCATGCGCATCTGGGCCTCCGAGGACGGCCGCTGCATCCGTGAGATCCCTGACCCTGATGGCGCTGAACTGCTGTGCTGTACCTTCCAGCCCGTCAACAACAACCTCACTGTGGTCAGGCTCCAGGACACCTGCTCACCCTGGGCGGGCATGCTGGGTCTGGAGGCTTGTCTTGGGGCACCAGAGTATAAAGGTTTAATCCCTGCAAGTCCTATCACAGCAGTCCTGTGGGCAGACTCAAAGAGAAACAGACCAACAAAAAGCACAGTTCAGCCGGGCGGTGGTGGCACACGCCTTTAATCCCAGCACTGGGGAGGCAGAGGCAGGCGGATCTCTGTGAGTTGGAGGCCAGCCTGGGCTACAGAGCGAGCTCCAGGACAGGCACCAAAGCTACACAGAGAAACCCTGTCTCAAAAAAACAAAACAAAAAAGCACAGTTCATGATCTGAGAAGGCCTTGCTGTGGTAGACTTCTGGGCTGGGCTAGGCAGGGGGGTCATGGCCCTGGGGTTCCTCTGGTCGCATCACAGTCTTACAGTTTTCTGTCTCCAGAGGCTGCTGCTAGGGAGCAGGAGGATGAGGCGGAAAGCTCATGTAGTCTATCAGTGGCAGCCCCACTGTGGTCAGACTCCAGGACAGACTGGTGATCAGAGGGCAGAGGAAGACATGGAAAGTCTGGCGTGGCCTGGGGGTAGGGCGTTGAAATGTAGGGGAACAACAGGCCATGAGCGAGCTAGTCCTTGGGGCCCTGTCTCATTTCCGTGCTAGCAGCTCTTGGGCTTCGAGAGGGGGCAGACCAGGGTGCAAGGGAAAGCTATAAGGGTATTTTAAGGTCAAGTTTTCAGACTGGCCAAGGGGCAGCAGCCTTTTGGCTCTGGGACTGCCTTTGTCTCACGAGCAACTGGCCTATTGTAAGCATATGGAGGGGATAGCTAGGGAGTAGGAATGATGCCTGGGTCACCTTCCGGGGAACCTGGCACAGTCCTAACGTGTGAAACTCAAGGACGGACTGGATGAGTCGGAATGATAGTGTGTGTATTCCACCCACAGGTGGGGAATGCCAAGCACAATGTGCATGTCATGAACATCTCCACAGGCAAGAAAGTGAAGGGTGGCTCCAGCAAGCTGACAGGCCGCGTCCTCGCCCTGTCTTTTGACGCCCCTGGCCGCCTTCTCTGGGCAGGTGATGACCGTGGCAGTATCTTCTCCTTTCTCTTTGACATGGCCACAGGTAGGCAGGCCACAGGCCTCGGTTTAGGTGCCCTCTCCTTTTGATTCTGCCAGGACTCAGTCCTTGTCCTCTCCTTTGCCTCCGCTGATTCAGGGAAGCTGACCAAAGCCAAGCGACTGGTAGTGCAGGAGGGCAGCCCTGTAACCAGCATCTCCGCCCGCTCCTGGGTCAGCCGAGAAGCACGGGACCCCTCCCTGCTCATCAACGCCTGCCTCAACAAGCTGCTGCTCTACAGGTGGGTTCCTCCCCTACCGGGGCCATCGGGGCCAGCAGAGGGGAACAAGACCTGTCGCCATCACATTCATTGCACCAAGGACGGGTCTGACCTCACAGGATGATGAGGGTGGGGTTGGGGATGTAGCTTAGTGGCAGAGTGCTTGTCTAGCAAGTGTAAAGCCCTGGGTTCCATCCCCAGAAACACACACACACACACACACACACACACTACATAGTGTGGGGATACATGGCCTACAGTGTACACAGTGTACACAGTGTACAGTATGACAATAGCAATAGCAACATAAATAAGAAAAGCAGTAATGAGCCTCTCCGTGAGCATTGCGATGGCCAGGCCCTGTTCAAAGCACATCATACATACCACCTTCTTCCATCCCCACAGCAGCCTGGAAAGTAGATACTGTTATTATCTCAGATGGTATAGGTAAGCAAACTAAGGCCAGATACATAAAGGGCTGAGAAAGTAGCTCAGTGGTAGAGAGAGCACTTGCCCAGCACACATGAGGCTGTGGGTTCCACTCCCAATACTATGATTAAAGGGAAAATATCAGCACATGTTTCCCTTTGGTTTGATTTTTTTCACATTTATTTCTGTGTGTGTGTGTGTGTGTGTGTGTGTGTGTGTGTGTGTGTGTGTATGCACATATGTAGAAGTTTATTCTGTCCTTCCATGCAGGTCCCAGGACTCGAACTCGAGTTGTTGGGCCTGGCAGCAAGTGTCTTTACCTACTTGAGTCATCTCTCCAGTTCCCTTTCTTTTTCCTTATTTGGTGCTGGGAATTGAACCCAGAGCCTTGGACATGCTAATAACACTCTACCACTGAGATTCACCCATAGCCTATATTATTTTGTTCTTTTGATTTGAGGTCAAAATTCATTCTTCCCACCCATCGCTGTCATGTTACAGTTCTCTAGCTAGGGTGCAAAACCTAATGACCAGAATCACTTCAAAAAAATTTATGCTTTTTAAAGCTGGACATAAGCTCATGCCCTGCTAGGCAGTGGTGACACACGCCTTTAATCCCAGCACTCAGGAGGCAGAGGCAGGAGGATCTCTGTGAGTTCGAGGTCAGCCTGGTCTACAGAGTGAGTTCCAGGACAGCCAGGGCTACACAGAGAAACCCTGTCTCGGGGGTAGGAGGGACCTCATGTCCTAAATCACAGCACTTGGGAGGTAGGGGCAGGTTGAGACTAGACTGATCTACATAGCAAGTTCCAGTACACAGTAAGATCCTATCTTTAAAACAAACAAACAAACAAACAAAAACCCAAAAAACTTACTTGTTGCTCTTACAGATGAGTGAGGTTCAGTTCCCAGCCCCAACATGGCGGCTCACAACTCTGTAATTCCCGCCCAAGGGCTCCAGCGCCCTCTTGTGGCCTCCTCCAGTACTATACACTCATGGTGCACAGACACACATGCAGGCGGAACACCCATACACATACAACGAAAATAAGGAAATTGAAAAAAAATGCTAGGGGTGATGATAGATACCTGTGATGCCAGCACTCTAGGGCTGGAGCAGGGGGACCACTTGAATGCCTGAGTTCAAACTCAGCTTGTACAACGTAGTAGGCCTGTCTGCAGATGAAAATGAATCTGAATTTCATGAGCACTGTGAATGCCTCAGATACAGGATGCAGAACGTAGACCGCCGCTGGCCTCCTGAGGCTGAGGCTCTGCCGCCCTGACCCCTTTCCTTTGCCTTCTCTTCAGGGTGGTGGACAATGAAGGGACCCTGCAGCTGAAGAGGAGCTTTCCCATTGAGCAGAGCTCCCACCCTGTGCGCAGTATCTTCTGCCCTCTCATGTCCTTCCGCCAGGGGGCCTGTGTGGGTGAGTGCTCGGGGGCAGCGGCCCGGGGAACTGGGAAGAGGCACACACCACTACTGCTGCCGGCCTGGCTCCATCACCGTGCCAGCCTGATGCCATGACTTCCTGGGCCTTGTGCTCTCTTGTGCCCTAACGGCCTCATGCCTAAACACTTTCCACATGGAGCCACGCACAGCTTGGGAAGTTCACAGCTGAGACACAGACCCCACGCTTGCCTAAAACCTCCCCTACTGCCCACAGGACCAAAGGGGGCAGATGAACTCCCATCTAGGGAGGGTTCCTTTTAAACTACCCCAAGCTCCGTGAGGCCCTCCCACCTCCCACAACCTCAAGGACTCCCCACCAGGCTCCTGATCCTCTCTCCCTCTTATCCGGACAGTGACAGGCAGTGAGGATATGTGTGTTCACTTCTTCGACGTGGAGCGGGCGGCCAAGGCTGCTGTGAACAAGCTGCAGGGCCACAGTGCACCTGTGCTCGACGTCAGCTTCAACTGCGACGAGAGTCTGCTGGCCTCCAGCGACGCCAGTGGCATGGTCATCGTCTGGAGACGAGAGCAAAAGTAGGGTTCCGCCAGCCCTGCACTGCCCGCCGCCGCCGTCGCCGCCGCAGTTCCCTCCTCTCCCTCCGGGCTTGTGTTGTAAATAAAATTTCCGTGGTTGTGTTGAGGGGCAACTCCCAGGTCTCCCACAAGGGGGCACTAGGGAGCACTGAGCCCTCCGGTGAAAGGGAGATGGCTTCCTCGGTTGTGCAGTCTTGTGTTCATCCATGCAACAAGCACTGAGTAGCTGCTGTGATGTGTCACGTAGTTGTGAGTCAGTAGACAGGAGTGAGCACCAACTGTGTTGTCAGGAACTGTTCTGAAAAGGAGGGATCCTGCTGTGGCCTCAACCAATGCAAACTCCTGCCCTTGTGGCCTTGCATCCTAGGGGATGCAAGCACGCGGTATACAAAGTACAGCCATTCCTTGGAGTATAATTTGCTTTATAATTTTTCAACTTTTTGACCGTACAGTGCTACAGAACCACACACATACACCTGGTCTTGTTTTTCTACTTTCAGTATGGTGTTCAGTAAATTACATGAGCTAGTCAACATTTTGTTATAAAATAGACTTTGCATTAGGTGAGTTTGCCTACCTGTAGAATAATGTCACTGTTCTGAGCCCATTTGAGGTTGGTGGGGCTAAGCTAGGGTGTTTGGTAGGTTAGGTATATTAATGCATTTTTGACATACACTAGTTCAAGTTCAGGCAGATTGGTTGAGGTCTAACCCTATTGAGTGGAGAAGCAAGCATCTGTATATAATAGGCTAGTTCAAGATGGGCGGTGTGGAGATGAAGAAAGGAAGAAAGGGGGTGAGGCCGCAGGGACGGGAGCGGGGAGCTTCTTTTGGCGATGTCATTTGAAGATCTGAATGAAATGAGGGAGGCCATCGTGGGGGGCGGGGGTAGAAGAACATCCTCAACAGAAAGAAAGGCTAGCGCAGAGCCACCGAGACGGGAGTGTGCCAGAGTATGACCCGGCTGAGTGTGACACATGACATTAGATCTGGAGGGCTTTGTGGGCCATGCTGAGGAGCTTGCCTTTTCCTGGGTGAGGGAGGTTGGGGTGCAGGATCTGACAGCAATAGAGAACTTAGGAGAGGAATGGTGAGTTCAACCCCAAGGGTTTCATCAGATTAGATTGCAAAAGTTCCCAACCTGACAGCTTCTGGCTAGGTGCACCCCACTCTTATCTGTGCATTGACTTAGGGCCCCCAACCAGGGAGCAGAAGTGGTGTGTTGAGGTCTTGGAGTTCTAGATTGGCATGCTCCTCCCATGCCCGTCCAGGGCCCTAATTTAAGCCCTTGACCAGCTCAGAGACCAAATACTAAATTAGTTCATGATTGGCTATTGGCAAGGAAATAAGTTCCAAAGTCATTGTCAATGGTTAGAATCATGAAGAAATTTCAGTGTGAAGCATCACCAGGGCCTCTTAAAGCTAATTCTCCCAGATCCATGTGCTGCTACATTTGCATCAGTTGCATCCTTGGCTAACGTCTTGGGACTTCAGAGTCACCAACCTGGTAGCACAGTATTGCTGAGCTATGGAACTAACAGCAGCTCTTTGAGGGAAGAAGATAATTCCCTGTTTATTTAATCTGTCATTTAATAGTGTGATCACTTGTAGCCAAAGCATTTCTGGCTCCATCAGATAGATCTTAGGCAAATGGTTATGAGATAATGATACCAGTGAGCTGGACTGGTCATGTTGTCAAAATTATGTGTGTGTGCCAACATTCCTAACCCAGCTTGGGGGTCAGTGATTTCCTATGAAGACAGACAATACAGCTGATGGATACAGTGAAGGGTACCACACACCAATTAAATACTAATCTTCCAAGAGGCCCTCCCAAGGATAACAGTTCAGACCTGTGTGTTAACTCTCTGCTGCACCAAATAGATACGGTTTCAATCAAGGTCTAGAGGGAGCAAGATAATTTGGGGAAATACCAGTTTTCTCGAACTTCCTTTTCTTCACACTCTCCATTTTCTTTAGTGAGTCTGGTTTCAGGATGGTTGATGAATATTGTTTGCATGATTCGGGGGGTTTCCTCCTTGTAAAATTTTTGAGGTGGCAGAATTGACGTTCTACTTTAATTTCATCTTGGTGACACTTTTGACTCACAACCTAAAGGAACCTAAACACTGAGTAAACAAGAAAGAATAAAAAATAATGCTATTGGTCAACCTTGGGCCTCTCTTACTTTGTCATCACTGTGCCTCTGGCTTGACATCAGAATTTTCGTCATTCCATCAGATCTAGTCCTGGTCTACGCCCTTTGTCTATTTTGACCCTGGGTGCTAGTCACGTGCTGCACTATCAAGAGCAGCTCGGGGCTAAGCCTGGAGCTGAGCATTTCTTTAATTATTCCCCCACCAGTGTGTACCACTAGTCAAGCCTAAAACCCGACCTCCCACCAACACTTGTCTACTCATCTGACTTTGAACTTGAATGTGGACTTCTGTGATTTTTGCTGTGATGAGTCTTGATCTTAACCTTACATCTGGAATTCTATTATTTTACCATCAGTTCCCCTAATGTTACTAGTTCCGACCTCTATCCGGGCAGGAAATGCCCATGTGATCCAAACTTAAGCCCAGGCCTCTGTCAACTATTCTACCATTACTGGCTCTTTGCTCTGGCCTCAGATCTGGGCATTTGTTTGGTTTTGTTCCTAGGGATGGAGCCCAGACCTGTGTGTGTGTGCTGAGTAAAAGTTCTGCCACTGAACTATAAACCTGTTCCTGGGTATTTCTTACTGTTTCCTTCACTGATGCCTATCTACTACGGCCTCAGACTCAAACACTGTTTTGAGACAGAGTCTCTCTGTGTAGCCCAGGCTAGCCTCTGTCTTCCTGCTTCAGCCTCCCAAATGCTGGATTACAGGGATTCACCACCAAGCCTAGCCAGATACTTTAGAGTAATTTTTGTTTCAATTTAAAGTAATTTTTACTTTATGTGTATGGGTGTTTTGCCTGTATGTATGTCTGTGTGCCATCAATACCTGTGGTATCCGCAGAGGCCAGAACGGTGTCAGGTCTCCTGGAACTGGAGTTACAGACACATTTGTAGGCCACCATATTGGTGCTGGGAACCAAACCCGGGTCCTCTGAAAGAAGAATAAGTGCTGCTCACAGCCACTGAGCCGTTTCTCCGGCCACCAGGTACTCGCAGGTCTACTGTTGTCGGTGTCCGTATGGCCTACTCTGAAGCCTGGATCTCTGTAGATGCCTCCACCATCAGGACCACTACCTTTACTCTTAGCTTCAGTCTCCTTAAGCCTTCCATCAGTGTCATGGCGTCCTACCTCCAACGTGGGACTCTGGCTCCACTCTCAATCCATCTTTCCAAGACCAGTGAATCCAGATCTGGGGTAACTCATGAGCAATGCTCTTCAGCTCCAAAACCTGAAAACTTAAGCCTCTGTTAGTTTTCCCATACTTAGTGCTTCTGGGACCTCAGTACAGTAGTCCCCTGTTGATACTTTTCAGATCTTCCCTCAAATGCTGGCCTCTCTTTCTCTTTTCCCTGCTGGCCTATAGTTTCTATTCCTCTATAACTACTCTGATCTTGAACCTTAGGAACATCAGTTCCTCTTGGCATCCTTACGCTTTTGTGTCTGTTAACTATTCTATGACCTTTGCTACTTGGTTCTAATCCTAAACGCCCCCAAACTGTTTCACCACGAACGCCCTTTTAGTATTTAGTATTTCGTATTGAAATGCTGGATGAATATTCTTTGGCTCAACCTTGAATCTGGGTCTCTTGGTTAATATCCCACCACCACAAACCCTGTCCTCCAGCTGGGCGTTTGTGAACTCTAGCACTATCAAGACATGTCGGGTCTGACCTTGACTCCATAAAAGCCTCCTGTGGCCGGGAGGTGGTGGCACACGCCTTTAATCCCAGCATTCGGGAGGCAGAGGCAGGCAGATCTCTGTGAGTTCAAGGCCAGCCTGGTCTACAGAGTGGGTTCCAGGAAATGTGCCAAAACTACACAGAGAAACCCTGTCTCAAAAAACAAAAAACAAAACACAAAACAAAACAAACAAACAAACAAAAAACCAAAAAACCTCCTGTGGAGGCTGGAGAGATGGCTCAGAGGTTAAAAGCACCCACATCAGTTAGCTCATAACCACCTTTAACTGCAGCTCCAGGGGATCCCAGTCCTTCTGGCTTGTGCAGATACACACACATGGCACACACATACATAGACATACACACATATACAAAAGTAAAATCTTTTTATTTTGTTTGGTTTTGCTTTTCTGAGACATGATTTCTCCATGCAGCCCTCATTGTCCTGGAACTCACTCTGTAGACCAGGCTGGCCTCAAACTTAGAGATCTGCCTGCCTCTGCCTCCCGAGTGCTGGGTCTCAGGGCATGCACTACCACTGCCCAGCTCATACAATCTTTTTAAAGTAGAAGTCTTTTTAAATTTTTGTTTATATTTTTCATTTTTATTTTATGTATATGAATGTTTTGTCTGCACATGGGTGCCTGGTGCCTATGAAGGTCACAAGAGAGCACAGATTCCCTGGAATCACAGTTGCAGATGAGTGTGAACCACCATGTGGACTCTGGGACTCCAGCTTGGGTCCTTCGCAAGAGCAACAAGTGCTTTTAGCTTGCTGGGCCTCTTAAGCAGAGGTCTTGTTAACTATACAACCACTGCTGCTCTGTCATAGCCTTGAACTCAGGCTTCCATGAAATCATCTAGTTTAATCAGGGGAGACGGGTTGTCTCTGCAAACACCAGGCTTGACAGAGTCAAAACACTTGTGAGGCAAGAAGAAAATCTCGGGCCAGAGAGATGGCGCAGTGGTTAAGAGCACAGGCTGCTCTTCCCAGAGGACCCAGGTCCAATTCTCAGCACGCACAAGACAACTCACAACTGTCTGTAACTCCAGTTCCAAGGAATCCGACACAATCACACAGACATGCATGCAGGGAAAAATGCCAATGCACAGAAAATAAAAATAAATAATTCATGTTTAAAATATTACAGCAGCTACTGTTCCTATGGCTACAAATATCCGGTAGTGACTGACCAGGTGATTTCTTCAGTCTTCTCACCTATCTCCACACAGGACCTTACACAGAACATCTACAGAATACAGACATTTATTGAGGAGGTGATATGTGTCA